TACTCTACTCTTTAACCAGTGTTACTTAGATGTACATTTTTATAATGTTTATGATGATTCTTTTTATAATATATTAATAAACAAAAACAATTCACCCAGCGCCATCTAGTTAGCTAAGCAAAGTTTATGTTATAGGTACTAGACAATTGATACAAATACTTTTTTTAAAATATATACATAATATAAATTCACCCAGATCAATACAAACAATCAAAATCACAAAACCAAATGTTTGTACTGTGCGAGATATCAAACCCGCGATCATCGGAATAGCAGTATGCTAAATCGCTACACCACTGGTTCGATTCCTGGCACTATGCAAACATTTGCATTCATAAGTATGATTGTTTGTATTGGTCTGGGTATTTTCTATGTATATTATGTGGAATATCTGTATTTGTAAATCTATGTATTTCTACGCAAAAATGAAACTTAAGAAGCTTTTTAGAATCTGAATTAAAAAAAGGAAATAGTTTCTAAATCAGAATGTATTTTGTACGTGAGTTCTTCACAGAAATTTATGGTAAATAGGTACTTAAATAAATTTTGATGTTTCTGTTTTTTTTTTGAGTAGGTAATCTTTAATAATGCGATCAAAGTAGGTTTTTAATGGTTGAACACGATATTATATTTCGTGGGTCATCATCATGTTAAATCGCTGTTACTGAGGTAGGGAAGTCATAACTCCCACACAAACGTATCCTACAATCCAGAAACATCAATTAAATCAAATAAAAAATAATTTATTTATGAACACGCTTCTGAACGTCAGGTTAATATTAATATTTTTACCCCATTATACAGTTCAACTATTACTACTACTATACAATACAGATTCAGTTGAGAAGACTCTCAATACTCAATTTGCCAGAAAAAAAATGTGTCATAAAATATTTTCTTTGTAAAAAAGCTTATTATAAAATTGAAGAATTTATAAATGGTAATAATGTTTTTGTAGAATATATCTAACTTAAAATTCATAGCGCTGACAATGTTATCTGATTGAACAGAGATTAAGGGCGTAGCGGTTTCTATGTTGATTGTCGCATGCCTAATCCTTGTTGTTAATTAAATATAAGTAAATCAATATTTATTTAAAAGAGCAACACACAAGTTTCTTGCTTATTCTTCTTGTGATGAATCTGCATTCCAAATAAGCGGTAGAAAAAAAAACTTGACTATTCAAAAGTTCTTATATTAAGTTTATATGAATAAAGATTATTTCTATTTCTAATTCTGAGAACTGGCAAGAAATTGAACTGCAATTCTTTTTTTATACGTCACTTTGTATTATTGTTTACTTACACAGGTGTCTATGTCTAACATTAAATGAAAATCCTGTGTACGTTTGTCATTAAAGTAAATGTTTAGTGTGTATAGTAATTTCAGTACATCCTTCGGTATAATTGTAATATTTTATAATTGACAACAAATTTTGCTGAATTATTTTTTTAATAAGCCACTTTGTTTACATTATTTACTTATAAAAGTGTCTATATCTAACATTAAATGAAAATTCCGTGCATGAACAACTCTTGCCATGCACGTTTGTCTATATGATGATCCAATTTAATATGACGTATATCAGCCCTTTGTACGACTCGCAGGATGAGAGCTCTCAGTATTGCAATATGTTGCAATTACAGCAATTGTCGGGGGACAAAGCTATACCTAAATGAGATTTTGTTCAAGTACCTATCAGGAATGTACACATAACTACTATCCTACGATTTTAGGGATCCAGTCGTCTGAATACTGGTGCCTGGAGTTCTTTTGCAGTGTTTTTTTATTTTTATTCTACTGGAATTAATTGCAATAAGAAAATTTGACAGGCCAACGAGATTATGGTTTTGATATCGTAACTTTTCTAGATGGAGTTTTCATCGAGATAGAGATTATATAGATAGATAGACTCTTTTCTTATTATGACTTTTTACTAAATCTATTTTATTATAAATAAAATAAATGTAAAAGACGGTTTATTAAGACTATTTTATTACAAATAATTATTTTGCCATTAAATAATTAAATATATTATTATTGTTATAATTAATTGATATTAATGTACTTAAATACTAACAACATTGTAAAACAGTTTGTATCGTACAAATAAAAGAAATCTAAAGTACCTACTGCAATATATATACAGATAGTATTATATAATGTGTAGTATTGAACATAATTATTAATTTGTAATGATATTGTTCTTATTTTAGGTTATCTGGAAGAAATTGTATTAGATATAAAGCCCTACTACTATACCCTATTTCTCTATTAATTCTGATTACTGTAATATACCAGGTGTAATAAAGAGTATATAAAATAAATAAATAACCATATTTACTCGTATATTAAAACTAATATCATTTTATGTTATACAATGAAATTTTTACATTGGGTCTACCTCTCGTAGCGCTACGGTGCTACGCCGTAGCACTCCAAAGCGCCCCCTTCCCCCTACTGACGCAGTTATATTCAAATTCCAGAGATTCCATGCCCTCTCATTTCGGTGTACTCAAAGGCAACAATTTGAACTAGTTACGCCCCTTGCTTCGTTCGTTTTTCATTATACAAAAACCTGCTGCAGAGGGTTATTGTGTTCTTGAAAATTGTTTAAATGGAAATAGAAATTTTGATATTTTGTCACTTAATAATAATTTAAGATATTAGATCAGGATTTTTATGTAGGCAACATATATTTTTATGACTTTAGTTGAATAGTGTAGGTATACCAAACAAGTACTTTGTCTATTCGGCTTGGTTCAATTGTCATTCCAAATATAATTTAAAAAATACAGATATTTATAATATTACTTAAAATTTACTTCTTTTTCATATTTCTGAAGAATATGTGGATAATCGTAAGTATATGAACATATGTCCATCATGCTGTCATCAAATAGGTCATCATCATACACAAAATGCAAGTCACGACTAAACACTTACCTAACTAAGTACCTACCTAAGGTAAATAATTTGTAATATATATAAATCCATAGATACATAAATTAAAAATACTCTTAATACTCATCCGTACTGCCAACTGAAAATCAGCTCTGGAAACTGTGTTTTCAGCATTGTGCTGAGATGTGTGTGAAATGTGGACCACATTGACTCTGTTTCCTTTGTTGAAATTGTTCCTTATATTTCTTATGTTATTACTGTATAAAACGAGTTAATAAATTATATTATATTCTTAAGAGCAACATGGTATAATAGTTTGAGTTACCAATCGCGGACCCAAACAGACTTGAGGTCGAATTTGACTGGTATCTACCAAACAATTTTATAGGTCAATTTATATTTCTGTCTCAATTTCTGGTGATGAAAACACCAAGAAGAAACCCTATCTGTCAGAGGAACGACGGCAAATTTGCCGTTCACGTTGGTGATATGTGTTACTACGTTATCGGGAGTTGACATATCTGTCTACCCAATCTGCGATTACTATCGTGAAGGTATTGGATTATTGGTAATTGTATTATTAAAGAAGCTTATTATAAAATTGAAGAGAAAAATCAATTTAAGATTCATAGTGCTGGCAACATTACCTATATGATTGCAGTGCGGTTTCATGTCGATTGTCGCATATCTTGTCCATATTAACGTGTATTTACTAAGAATAATATTTAGTTAAAAGAGCAACATGCAAGTTTCTTGCTTATTCTTCTTGTGATGAGTCTGCGTTCCAAACAGAATAAAAAAAATGTGACTATTCAAAAGTTGTTATATTAAGTTAATTTGAATAAAGATTATTTTTAAAGAAATATTTGTATGAATTTATCTATTTGTGCCTATAAATTCATAATAATATGAAATATAAAGTTATTTAAATTGTGAATATTTTTCACCTGAGGTAGAGCATTGGAGTTAAGAGAGTTTTCATATGGTTCGTTATTATGACGATACATAGATAGATATAGATACATAGTTCTGTGACATTGAGATACGACAAAAAGGACTTATAATTCAATAGCTATTTAAGTTTAAATTTCAATAGGTATTAAAAAAAAACAATAATTAATCTAATAAAAGGAGGAAAATATAATGATAGGGATAAAATGACAGACAATAACAATTATTTTTAGAATATATATTTTGACTCTTAATACTTATTAATAAGCTACCAACGAATAATAATTTATTGTAAACAAGAGTTATTAAATATATTTGAAGATAGAATTTTTGCACTAAAATAAATGTGTAAATGTGTAAGTAGATGTAATATATTTGTTAATGCATAATACCATCCAATATACCTGCCGACTTATGCATTACGAAATTTAATATCGAATACAGAAAAAAAGGTCTGTTCCCATTTAGTGAAGTCCCTCTCCCCCGCATTCCTTATTCAACAACGTCCAAAAATTAAAGGCGCTATTACAAGAAATCGCACTCAGACTGCGACGTTTGAACGCAACCCAGCTGAAATATTCCGTTTCCCGAGTGCTCTTATTTACCAGATATACCTCTATACCGGCACTGTTTGTTTTTTCCATTACAAAAGAACGGAACGCCTTGCGCCGGGTATAGCAATAATATTTCAATATCGCCAGATTGTTCCAACCCTAGAGGAGCTCAAAGTGATTTCTGCGCGTTCTCATTGGTCGCCGACCATCGCTGGGGAGAGCGTTCGATATTCAAACGCAACGGTAAACAAGGACAAAAATAGTATAGCTGCGAATGGAATACGTGAGTCAGAAAAGGACAGATACAAGTAAGTCGGTGTATGAATACTGTATGAACGCGAAAGGTCCGTATCAATAATACGTGCACGAATGAAATAATAGATTATTCGTTTGTTCAAATCGAACGTAAACAAAATGTAAGCATCCATTACTGATGCATCGTCTGACGCATTCAAGGGGTTTACGGGGTTTTAGAGGTGTTAGAAAGAGATAGATATAGTTCGTCGTGTCGAGGCTTCATCTAGTCTGTGCCAACAATGCGAGGACTATCTGTTTTTGTAGCAGTCGACCGTCGGTTTTCACATTAAACGATCATTTTAAGGGCGAACCAATCAAACTGCAAATTTATACAAATTGATACTAAACGGGTTATATTAATTTTATAACAAAAATTAAGTGTGTAAATAAGTTTGAACGGAGTCGTAATTAAAACTAATTGGGTGTAATATAGCGATAATTATTTTGTATTAAGGCGGGTTTTCGCTGGAATTTTGTCCTTTTTGACGTTACGTTCGGGTTTCGGCGGTTTTTTTAAACTCATCCAACGGAAAGTGGACTTGTGTTCGAAATTTGAAAATTTTACAATGACCGCTGCTCGTTCTCGTGCGGTATTTTTCGCAATTCGACAATAAAGGATTTATTTTTTTTATAAGTGTACCGGCAAAAGTGGTTGTCTATAAGTTCTAAAGGTAGAGTTGAGTGTTCATAATTAATTATTGCAAATGGTTTGCGGTGGAGTGTTAAGGACGATGTCGATATAGGGGGCGGCCAGGGTTGGCCTTTTGAGGCCATGCTCAATAACCTCACCGCGACAGCTTTAGGAGGTAAGATTCATTATTTTCTATATTAATTATGTTAACAATAATTAATTAATAATAGTAATTAATTTAATTAATTAACTTCACATATAAATATTAACAATTATTAAATAACTAAAAAATAGGCAGCGAAAAATGTTAGAGTACTGAAACGACATGATGGTGTTGTGAATAATGTTATCGAAAGAAAAATAGGAAGGAAAGAGGGGAAAGGGGAAGTCTAAAACAGCTATATCAAGCAGATCAAAGAAAAAGTAACATGTCATATCAATAACTAAAGGGATTGATGAAAAATAGTGGAAAATGGGAAGTGCTCGATCAAGAGCGCGGCTCCTAAATTATGAATAAATTTAATGAATGAATTTATTTTTTAATTATATATATACATCATTATATATGTATAAGTATCCGTATATCCTACCCTGAGTTCTTATTTGAAAACAAAAAGTTAAAAAATAAGTAAGAATAAGTCTTTGGGTTACTTACTATTGGATACATGTTATGCAGGTGATAGGTAGGTACTGTTACTTATAGATGGATGAATAAGGTACCTATAAAATATATATACAAACTTAAAGTACTAGGATGATTCCATTAAAAATATGAGTCAATTAGTCATATCTAAGTTAGTTTTCACTTTCGTTACAAATAATTTCATTCAATCAACCTGTTACATTAATACTATTTTCATAGAGAAAACTTAAAAATGCAAGAAGTTTATAATTTATATAATTAATATATTTAATTTAATAATGAATATATAATTAAATAATTAATTAGATCGTGTAATCGTGCTACTGAAGTAAGATGAAGAATACCTACATGGTAGAGCAAAGTTAAACAATAATCAAATCGAATAAATGTAAATAAATGTATAATTAGATAAATAATAATACCTTATTATTTGTCTAATTATACATTTATTTAATTTATGTTAGGTTACTTAAACTTTAAGTAGTTTAAAATTAAAAGAAAATACTAGGTGCACAAATACAATAGTATACAAAGATCATCCTAACGTTTGATTTGTAGAGAATGCCTCTAGCAATAAGTCAACTTTCTGTAATATATTTTATATAGTCAACGAAGATATTTAAAAAAATAAATACCTATTTATAACTCGGCCACGATGGTCTATCGGTTTTGCACAGATTTACTTCCGATGTATGTTTCCATTCCTCGTATGATGCAAATATGTTGTATGACCGTTTGTATTAGTCTGGGTATCTTCTATATAAAATATAAGCATTTATAAAAAAATACCTAGTACCCATAAAATAAGGTTTGCTTAGGTACTAGGTGGCGCTGTGCGAATTAACCAGGGTTATTATTATTATACATTTTTAAATTAAAAGTTGTGCCAGTTAGAGATACCTGATAGATTTGAATTGGTATTCTCTAGATTTGATTACCGCTAGGGCGCCTATCTGTCCCATCAAAAATTTTTGTATTAAGTAAATAAAATAGATTGTTTTATAGCTGGCTATATGCATCTAGGGATAACTAGACAATAATTGCCGACAGATAGAAAATTCTATTTCTGTCTTAATAATATAGGTATGATAATAATAATATTTCAGGACAATTCACATAGCTCCGTCTAGTCCTAAGTCAAGCAGAGCTTGTATTACGGGTAGGTACTAGACAACTTATATCACTTACATTTTCTTTTGTAAATACTTAAATAATATATATTGAAAACCTACAAATCCATAAAAACATACTAATAAATAAAATGGTTTAAAAGAATTTTGGTTGAAAATAAGGATGTGTACTTACGGTATAGAGGCATCTTAGTCCTTCAAAATGGTAAAGTTGGTATCACAAACGTGATAACATGATGTCCATCATGCTGTTCATGTATGCGCGATGGTTGCCATTTAACATCAGGTCGGCAGTCAGTTTGTTTGCCAGTGGAATGGCATAAAAAAGCTATATATATTTTAAAAGAACAAATCCCCTATAATAATAAAAAGTGACATTAACTATAAAGTGTATCGCCGTTTGCCCCAAATTCTATTTCTGTCTTAATATCTATATTAGGTATGATAATAATAATATTTCAGGAGAATTCACATAGCGCCGTCTAGTCCTAAGTCAAGCAGAGCTTGTATTACGGGTAGGTACTAGACAACTTATATCACTTACATTTTCTTTTGTAAATACTTAAATAATATATATTAAAAACCTACAAATCCATAAAAACAATTATACTACTAAATAAAATAGTTTTGGTTGAAAATAAGGATGTGTACTTACGGTATAGAGGACATCTTAGTCCTTCAAAATGGTAAAGTTGGTATCACAAACGTGATAACATGATGTCCATCATGCTGTTCATGTATACGCGATGGTTACCATTTAACATCAGGTCGGCAGTCAGTTTGTTTGCCAGTGGAATGGCATGAAAAAAGCTATATATATTTTAAAAGAACAAATCCCCTATAATAATAAAAAGTGACATTAACTATAAAGTGTATCGCCGTTTGCCCCATGTTACTCCGTGTTATAGTCACAGAATGGGGTGCAGTTCTGTTTTACGGGATTCGATTCCATTAAAGCCCGTTTATGAGCCATCCTTAATGCCACTAAGCCGGTGGTGAATTTTATAAGATTTAAGTTGAGGTATTTTGGTGTCAGTATAGGCAACTATGTAGATATATGTATTTGATTATATTTATTTAATTTGTCTTGACCACTGACGTAAAATGAATCAGTAGTTAATGACTTGTCAGTTGTATCGTAGCTTTTAATTACCGATTATGATGCCATTTTTTTTGCTATCAAGCTGTTGTTTTGAACAGGTCATCAGTTCTTTTTGTTATTAATGTTATTTTTAAACACCACCCGGTATTAGCGGTATTATTGTTTACACATAATATTATGAAATAGAAATAGAAATAATCTTTATTCAAATAAACTTAATATAAGCACCTTTGAACAATTAAGGTTTTTGATTCTACCGCTTATTCGGAATGCAGATTCATCACAAGAAGAATAAGCAAGAAACTTGTGTGTTGCTCTTTTAAATAAATATTGATTTACTTATATTTAATTAACAACAAGAATTAGGCATGCGACAATCAACATAGAAACCGCTACGCACTTAATCTCTGTTCAATCAGATAACATTGTCAGCGCTATGAATTTTAAGTTAGATATTTTCAACAAAAACATTATTATCATTTATAAATTCTTCAATTTTATAATAAGCTTTTTTACCAAGAAAATATTTTATGACACATTAGAATTTTTTTTCTGGCAAATTGCGTAGGTACAGACTCTGGGAGTTTGTTGTAAAACCTTACGCAATTTCCATAAAACGAATTACTAACTTTCGTCAAACAGCACTTAGGTAAAACTAGTTTGTTGACATTACGTAAGCTTTTATTAGTGTAATCATCTACTTTTTAAAGTGTAATATTTCTTATGTGTAATATTTATGATAAAGCAAGAAAACATAAAAAAATCTTGCCTCCTCTTGATCACATAGCATCTAGATCGCTAGCTGTACCCATATGGTCTTTTCTTCCAGGTAACTTAGTCACCCACCATATTGTTGATACATATCTGAAACAATGGAAATGTTGTGTCTTGCAAATGATTTATCTTACAACCCATTTGATCAATCCCCCATCCATCTCAAAAGGAGATCGAAATTACGACGGGCTGAGTTTTGAACCCCTAGCAGTGTCCTCAGACTAAAACCGTATCCATCAGGCAGGAACTGGTCTTTAACTGCTCCATAAGTCTTTCCGCGGGTTTGGAATGCCATTTGCATTCTTCCATCGTTCGGTGAAGCTGTAAACACTAGCTGCGACCAACAACATAGAATAGTCTGAAATTTGGTTATTATATAGCTGATGCAATAATCTTCTGTTCCAGGTCACAAAGATTCGTGCTCCGAGGAGAGTAAACAGCACGAGATCAAACCGAACATAGAGAGACCGCACCATGCGCTGGGAGCGCGATTACACATCGCACACAACATACGAGCCGATCATTTACAAGGTATATACTGTTTTACTATCACACTGTTATATGTTTTCAGTTCTCTTGGAATTCTATAAGAAAAAAAGGAGTCCACGATTCGAATTCAAAGGTCGCATTGTGAACTCTTTTTTCCTATATTATAGTCCGTGCTCTTATTAGTTAGTTTCTATCGTGGACTCTTACAGAATCTATGTGTAAGAAAATTAAAGAATTTGAGATGTGGGTGTACAGGAAAATGTATGTGTGTGAGCCTATCCACCTTCTGTCCTATTCCTACTGGGATCGAATTTACGAGGGTCTAAGCCGAACTTTGGGGGGCGATGTGTGCAGCGCAGGACCGATCGCCGTAAAGATCTTTGGGGGAGGTCTATGTCCAGCAGTGGACGTTCCGGGCTGAGATCACGAAGCCGAGCTTTGAACTAAACTTTGCCCTCAAATTAAGTTGAATCAATCAGGCAGGACTTGATCTTCAGCTGCTTTGCAATTGCTCTCATATTCACCGTGTCAAACAGTATAGGTAGGCTACGTTCAACAGCATTGAAATAGTAAAAAAAATCTTTCCTAAGAATCTTCTCCAGACAATAACAATCACAAGAAAAAATCAATTATCCAAAATTGGTCGGAAATAGGGATTCATTTTTATATATCGTATATACCTGTACATACATTTCATTACTTTATGACACTATGAAATAATGTCCTAGGCCTATAAAAAGTCCTATGTCGACAATCGTATTAATGAATTAATAATAAACAGTACAGACAAAACAGTTAATAATATTATGTCATCATTTATATATATATGCAATTTTTTAATACCTATGCTAGATATAGCATCTAAAGTTCGAACATTTATTAGAAGACATTTGAACACGTATTTTACATTAATATTCTTATTTATAATGCTTTATTGCACCAACCTCAGATTTAGATACAATGAAAAATAAAACATAAGATTGAAGAAAGAAGCTAGTACAAAAGGCAATCTCTTCCAGATAACCTTAGTAAAGTGTGGTATTCATCGTAAGTATAGTTCGTCTCTTATGAGTATCAATATCGGAAGTCGTCTATTTCTGGAGTCGACTCACAATAAACTACTAATATAAGACCTCTTATAAGAAATTGGGCTACATCTAAACCTTTATTGGTAATAATTTGTAAAGATAAATATGAAAGAGGCAGCTCAATACTATTTTATATCTATTGTTACTAAAAATACAAAATATATTCTTAGGAACGATGGTTTTTATCTCCTCAGGATAGAGTGTAAACTTTACAAGGAGATATATCATTTATGCATGTGTGAGCTACAACCAGATAGGATGTGTAGTGCCGTTTTCTCTTCAGCTTGGAAACGTATTGTCGATTTGTGTACCGAGGTAGATTCATGCGTCGATGCGTCATTTGCACCTTTCCATGCTATTGTATCGTGTAATCTCCCTGAGACAGCTTACGAAACAAGCTGTTTGGTTATCTCTATCGTACATATTTCAGCCCCAAGGGTCATGTTTGTAGATTGCGAAAAGGCAGTGAAATTACAGGCATAGAGGCATGACATCTATAATAGAATGGCAACGTATGAGGGTTATCACGAGCGTGACATGACAACGTGATGTAGGAACGTGTTGCTGTTATTTAGACTATGGTTGGTACTAAAATCAGGTGGGCCGTTAGATTGTATTCCTTTCCAATAATCAGCAAGTCTTAGCCTTAGTCTATGGGAGGCACTTACTGGTTGTTTAAAATTTGCTTGGGTTCATTTCGCGAGGCCCCTGTAAGAGCGAGGCCCCGGGCGATTGCCCTGTTTGCCACTCCCTATGGCCGAGACTGCCAATAATGTATATAAATAAATGCGATTTACTGTATTGTAGCAAGCTTAAAATAATTTAGCGAATACAATAAGAAAAATGTTAATAAATAATATAATTGTAAATTGGTGTTATTCCAAATTAGTGATAACAACTTTATAAGCATGTAGATCGCAGTCTATTGCTGGTAATAATAAAAAAAACCATTTGATATCCTTATTAAATGTGCCAACTTCTAAAGTTACTTGCCAAACTTGCCTTCATTTTTGTTTAGTCTGGTGAAAAAACTGGGCTTCTTTTTTGTCAATGGTAAACTAAATATATTTAGAGCAGAACTTGGGAACTTCAATGGCACAAGCGGTCGCTTTGTTCAGGTCTATTTTCATGCATGACCCTAGATACAAAAAACAATTTTTTTTGCATATATATATGGTTTTGTTTTGTATGAAGTATAACATTTGTGTACAGGTGGCATCCACCAGCAACACAGTGGCGGGCATATGGCAACAGTGCCAGTCAGCATGTCCTCATCAGCATCAGACAGCGACAAGCCGGCGAAGCAGAAGAGGCACAGAACTAGGTAATGTACCGAGTAAATAATTTTATTATATTAAACATACGAGTCATCTGATGGTAAATGGAAACACCAGGGGTGTCACGTGAGTGTTGCCGACTCTTAAGAAACCTTAATATAATTTTCTTGAAAAACCAAATGTTATAGTCTTTAGTGTAAACCTCGGCAGGAAGTTAATTCCACAATCTAAGGGCATGCGGGAGGAAGCTCTTCTAAAACCGTTCTATCCGAGATAGCTTAACGTCCAGCGTATGGAGATGAATTCCCTGTCGCTGGAGAGTAGTAAAAGGTAGTCGTAGGCATCTTGTCCAACAATTATTATGTTGGAAAACATCCCCAGAATGTCTTGATGTAAATAATTAGATGACAAGTACCCACTTCATTAGGCATAAGCTTTTTCAACTTATTTTTTAGATATATATTTAGATTTTAATAAAAAAAAGTTAAATTTCACGCCGTCGATGTCACGGTAACAGCTAGGTTAAAGGTAAGGCTACCACAAGGAAGGGATTCGATTCCAAATGACAGGCTTGTTGATTCTCGGAAAACAAATTGTTATAGACAACAGAACCGTCGAGCGGCGTGAGTAAATTCGTTCAATTTAAAAAAAATAAACACAGTGTTCCTACATAGTTACTGAACATATCGCTAGATTACTATTAGAGCGGAGAGCATACAAGATGAGTCATTGTACCTAATTGTACATCGGTACTCATAAAGTGTTAATAATTATTAAGTATCCTTGATTCTATTTTTAAACTTGATATTTCTGGAAATCCATCAATTAATTCACATAATAGATAGGTGTATAATATTTGACCATAGATAATTTATCATAGGTAGATGGTGAAGTCGTATGTGCGGGTACTTCAGACTCACCTACTTCAGCCGCCACGCAACTAGCTTTGTTAACTATGTTTCCCTTGCGGGTATTGATTGAATAGAATAGAAAATCATTTATTCAAATAAACTTACATTGAAGTACTTTTGAATAGTCATTAAATTTTTTTAATCTACCGCTCATTCGGAAACTTGTCTCATCACAAGAAGAACGAGCAAGAAACTTGCGTGTTGCTCTTTTAAATAATTTTAGATGTAGATTAGACATGATAAACGGATGTAATATTTATCACTCGATGTTTTGACTAGGTTGTACTAGCCATGGCCACGAGCTGGCTGTTACTCCCAATGGTAACTTGGTTACAATCAAAACGATAAATACGATAAAATAAACTTAGGTACAATCATAAGATTGTCCGACGAAACAGTACTCATGGTATCCGTACACTTATTGACCGATGCAACCAAACATTGTATTTTTTGACGGCCTCTGTGGTCTAGCGGTTTAGCTCACCACTTTACTTCCGATGGTCGCGGATTCGATTGCTCGCACGGTCCAAACATTTTGTAGTCTTGAGTATGATTGTTTGTATTGGTCTGGGTGTTTTCTATATATATTATGTATGTATTTAAAAAAAAAATAAAAGTATTTATATCAGTTGTCTAGTACCCATACACAAGCTCTGCTTACCATGGGACTAGATGGCGCTGTGTTAATTGTACAGGGTTATTTATTTATTTATATACAGGATATTTTAGTCCCCTGGAATAGCAGTGCATGAATGGTACCGGAGGTGTCATGATAACGTGACGTCCATAGTACTATATATGTTTATGGGACTGAACTGAACATTCACCATCAGATAGTCATACCATACCACTTACTTAAAAAAATATGTGAAAACAGTCAATAATCGGTTCCTACATATATGTACCGTAAGTACGTAAATCTTAATAGGCGCCTTCACATTTTGTACTTAAGTAAACACATACTGGTTATGTGAGAACGTGTTTATTTGCTTAATTTTCTATCTCTGTCCAACACAGGTTCACGCCCGCACAACTGAACGAGTTAGAACGATGCTTTTCCAAGACACACTACCCTGATATTTTTATGCGGGAAGAGATCGCCATGAGGATCGGTCTAACCGAAAGTCGAGTTCAGGTAAGTCATATTCGTATTTAAAAATAAGATCTTTCTGATTTGTTACCTTAAGCCTTACCTTTAACTTTACTTTACTTTAACGTTACCTTGAACTTTAAGTTCAATTATCTGATTGCATAAAGATTGAGTGCGTAGGGTTTTCTATGTTGATAGTCGCATGCCTCGTCCTTGTTAATGTGCAATTAAAATTAATTTATCCAAAAGGGCAACACGCAAAGCTTCCTGCTCATTCTTGTAATGAGTTTACGTTCCGAATAAGAGGTAGAAACAAAAAATATGACTATTCAAAAGTGGTTATATTAAGTTTATTTTAATAAAGATTATTTTTATTTATATTTTTTAAAACGTATTTCTAAAAGATATACATTCAGGACAGTGTTACATTGTATTCATAAAACGAAGACAAGAAACTGAATAATCCAATTACATGGTACAAATATTCCATAAGTTCATTGTATCCTTTTATTATAAGTTTTATTGTACAATAAAGTATTACAAACAAACAATGACATTTAGTTAAATCAGTGACAACGCATTGTGGAAATTAAATATTAGAAGTTTGTAATTAGGTACTGTATGAAACAGTATCTATATTTAAATTTTATTTATTTTGAATTTGTTCTATGGCTAGACTATATACTTTTATTTGAGAGAAAACTCCATAGATTTCGGAATAACTATCTAATTTATAATCCAATTATTTATTATGTAGTCATTTTCGTGCCTTTATACACATAAAAGCAAGAAGGTAAAAACAATAGATGAAATATTTGTGACATGAAACAATTCGATTTGGTATATATTTTTAGAAGATTAGATTTAGAATTTTTGGGTAGATTATATAAGATTTTTTATTTAAAAATAACGTTTTTCTTAGATCATCATGTCTTTCTTCTCTTTATTTGGGGTCCATATATATATATATATATATATATATATATATATATATATATATATATATATATATATATATATATATATATCCAATATATTCCATATAATTACAATTTCTTATATGCAGACTATAAATAACGAACATATTAAAACAAATAACTGATTCACTGCCTATTCTTACTTAATATATTATAATAACGTTACTATCATACTCAGTATATCTACATTTTTATCAATTTTGATGAAATTCACATCGTAAATCTATAGAAATACGAAGTTTATTGGAATGCTATCAAGCTACCAGTAATATTTATATTTAACCGAAACGTGTTACTGAACCTAATCAAATAACATTAGAAAGAAAACGTTCCAAAAACCGTTAAATCACATCCGTTGAAAATGTTCCACCACTAAAGCATACTAAAAAACTAAGGTCCGAGTGCATCACCTTGCGGGACGCTCTTCGCATGTTGCATATAAAACTTGCACTGTATTGATACATTTCACAAGACCTTCTACCTGATTCAACCTTCATATTAACAACCTTCGCTTCACGCTTTAAATTCTTTTACGCGTCAGTTATGATCGTTTATGTTTTGAATTGGGTGGTCGACTGAGTCAAACGCTTACAGCAAATTTTACAGTTTTTGACAATATATTCACATTTTATTGTGATTGACCCTCCTCTTATGTTATAAATATCTATATTTAGATTTATATATAATTTAATATGAAATTTAGAAACTACATATTCAATTATACATAAAATCACATATGATACTAAATTCAAGACCAGACAAACTGGGAACATTTGTTGGACAAAGAAGAAGGTATAACACTTAATTATGAAATAATAATACCTAAATCTTTTTCTCAGTACAGATGATAACGCTAAGGGAACAAAGTTCTTTTGATGTATTATTACTCCTATATAATGTAGACCAGGCTATACTAGAGTTATTTAATGCAATATTATTCTGCTTAGTATAAATTTTAGTGGAATGGTTATACTTATGTAAGTACATACATTTAAATAAATAAATATTAGTGAGGTTTTAAAGTTTTGTGCTATTCCTAGTAACATCGAAACTGCATTATACAAATTTAGATAATGTTGCTATTGTTGTTGTAACAATGTAAACAGTCATTAAATATGTATTATAGGTATATTAAGAGTAAACAAATTAATTTAAAGGTCGTTAAAAAGCACACCTGTGATTTATAGATCCAATTTTCATAGTTGTAAAACGACAAAAGATTAACTAACACGTGTGATCGTGAACCATCTAATTCTATCGACTAACTGCTTTTCTAATCTGCTAACAGTTACTTTGTACAAGCACTTAGTTTCAAGTTAAACTATACTTTACATTAGACATTAGGTTAATTTGTGTCGTGTGTTGACCAATATTTGTATTTCGTTAACACTCGTGACATACAGACAGTTTGGTTGATGAACTTGCTTGCATATTAGTGGTGATTTTAATGGTATTTAGAATCTGATTAGTATACAGTAACATTTTTAATTTAATAAAAGAAACCTGAAATATTGTATATATATATAAATTTTCTACAATATATTGGTTAGAATACCTATGTAAAAGATATATTCGTAAAGGATATGAGCCGAAAGTATATCATATAATATAAATTATTTTAATTTTATATGATTTAGTTTAGATTCATATGCAATTAAAATTAATTATTATATGCGCAAATAATTTCAATAATATTAAAAAATAATTATGACCTGTAATTGAAACGACAAGTCAAAATTGAGCTTATTGCATATATCTGAATTTATTTTAGACGCATAATTTAAAAAATAGCAGTAGGTATATCGTCGGACTTTAACTATAACTTGAACAAGAATGAGAGTAAGTGTATAGAATGAAACACGTTTACATGACGATTGATTTATTTATCTTAATAGAAGTTATATAATAATCTAATATGTAAAATTCTCATGTCGCGGTGTTTGTTACCAAACTCCTACGAAACGGCTTTACCGATTTTTATAAAAATGTTGTTTTATAAAATTCTACTATCTATTTTTCATACCCATAAGTGATAAAGGTTGTCTACCCCAAACATTTATCTTCATTGGACATAATTTTTATTTTTTTATAATGTATGCCACATTAATTAAAAATTACATACAACCCCTACAACAAACTATTACTGCAACCCCTATTTTTTAATAGCGATTTTAATTTATATGGCAAAACTACGTTTGCAGGGTCAGCTAGTAGTTAAACGAATACACTCACTACAGTAAGCGACTAAGTTTATCTCTTTGCTGTATGACGATCACAACATTGTGTCACAAGACGCTAGTTTTAATCCGTGAAATTTGCCAATGTGTTGATAAACTGTTGAATGTGAAATCATAAATAATTTCTCTGTACATAGTACTACTGGATAGTATTGCCGTAATATTGGAAGGTGCTGGAGTTTGATAATCGTGTGCATAGAAAGAATGCGTGAATGATCTCAATCTGACAGATTAGGCATACCGATTGGTTGCCGAATTGTACATGATTTTACCATCTGATGAGGTAAGACCAAGCGCAAACCCATTATTAATAAAAAATGAGAAATTATATTGTGTAGACTTGAAATTAAAACAGTTATTAAGTAATTTTTATTTAATAGGTAGAGTTCACTAAGATTTTATTTGATTTTTGCAACTTCATCTGAATTTATAGAAATCAATTAAGATGTTCTAATTGTAATTGACTCTAAGGTCAACCCTTAGTAGGTTTATCAGAATTATAAAAACTGAGAACTCAGATTTATAAAACTTTATTAATATAGTTAAACGGATTCTAAAACGCATAATTTTATGGTAAATAAAGTTATTTACCTAATATTTTACACGTTGTTTTTACAGTCGGAAGTCGTTAAGTGTATTAATAAAGTGTACTAAATGAGACATTTACAAAAATAATTTTGATAAATTACAATTTAATAAATGACTGAATCATATTCTAGATTATTATCATAAGCTATATTATCATTAGACCAACTAACACGTATTTATTAGTAGAGAAACCACATTGCAATCGGTACAAACATTTTTCTAGAATCATGTGATTTGGACGGAACTGGTTCCTAATCCAACGCTATTAATCCTTGAATCCTAAATTATATTAATGCATGCAATATATAGTCGATAAGACTTAATAATAAAAAGTATAGTAAATGGAAATTAATATCGAACTACCGTAACACTATGAATAATTTTGTAAAGATTTTGATAACATATATTATATAAAAATATTGATATCTATATAAAAATGAATAGTAATAATATTAACCTAAGAGGTTAGTTCACCTACCCTGGTTCCCATTTGTATATCATATTTATTTTTTTAACGTTTCGTAGCTAACGTCACCTTTTTCTATAAATAAATTTCATTAGATTTTTCATTTCATTTCATTTAATATTATTTTAAATTACTTCAATAAGAACGTATACGGTGGATCTTCAATATCTGTTTACCATGGTTGTGGACAAAAAATGTAAAATGTATATTGCTAGAGTTGTTATTGCGTATAATAAATGTAAAAGGTAGCCATTTACAGTTGAACCCGGAACTTTATAAAGCATATATTACATCACAAAATATTCCAAAACCGATGATTTTCTTAAAAACCGAACACCAGAATAAAATCAACAACACTAACCTCGAGTAAAAAAGTATAGGAGTGCGAGGAGCGTCCACAAAAAAAGCACAGAGCACAAAAATAAAAAGAAGATAATAAAAAGTGAGAGAATCTCGCGATGTGGCGCGAAGTGCCAGTGGTGCAGTCAAAAATGAACAAAAGTCTGTTTGTGTGTTTGCCCCCGTGTGGTCAGCAGGAATAGACAATCGGCTACTGTACTGTGGGTTTTAATTAACCGTGTGAAGTTTTATTTATAAGCTCTTGTGTATATGATAATGATGCTATTGATTCAGCTATATCCGGTTGTATCTGGTTATATCAAAGCCGAGAATATTCTGTTTTCATTAAAAGTTTGGTATTTTTGTATCGAATTGTGATTAATAATTCAGTCTCTGTATTGACTACAAGAATAACAGAAGAGAATTGACTCACTTTTA